ATTCAGTTTATTATGTAGTGTGTGTAATTCAGAGCCACACAATGCCAAAAAGTAAAAATATAAATATCATTCATTCTTGTTTTGTCAATTCATATGCACATCATTATCTATATATGTTTTTTGACACGATAACTGTTCAGCTTTGGGATGGAAAAAAAGGACTGTCCTCAATGGATGAATAGAATAATTAGAGTCGATTTTGATCTCGAGAGTAAACATGCTAGACCGAGGAGAGAGAGAGAGAGAGAGAGAGAGAGAGAGAGAGAGAGAGAGAGAGAGAGAGAGAGAGAAAGAGGAGAAGAAGTAGAAGACGTCGATTTGCCCAAACGAAGCCTATTTTGGAAAAAAGGAGAAGAAGACGTCGTTTAGAAGAGTTGTATACAAAATTTTCTGTCCAGAATATATTTTGTATACCTTGGGAGGGGACATCTGGACACCTGGACATCTCCCCACGTCATCTGGTCGATTTGAAGATTTAAAAAAGAGGAAGGACCTTCTGAATAGAATTCTCTTGAAGCTTCAAACATCACCTATTATAATTCTTTCTACTCGTTTTGTGGTCCGTTTTGAAAAAAAGGGAGAGAGGAGAGAGGGAAAAGAAAAAGACAAAAAAAAAAGAAAAGAAGTTGAGTCCGGTTAATCCTTATGACGGAACGTATAGTGAACAAAATACCGGAAGTAAAAGTATTTTGGGTTTAAAAATGACCTAGTTTTGGATTTCTAGGCCAGTAAGAATTTTCTAGGTCATGAGGCAAATTTCGATTTTTTGGAATTCCTTATTCCATGGAAGCTCTTGGCCGGCGTTCAGCCCCACAACGCCCTCCCTTCTTGTATGGCAAATGCCTCCTTTGTGTTTGTTGCGTCCTGTAACGCAGCGGCTAATACTACAGGATGCCGTTCAAGAGGTCAGGGGTTCGAAACCTCTGTGGGTTTTTTTGGTTTTTTATGTGTAAATAGAGTTGGATAATAAAAACTCTGTTATAAAAAGCCCCATGACCTAGTTTTTTCAGCTCATCGGCCTCGAAGGAATCCCAGTCTATACGACATTCTATCTGAATAACAATGAATGGATTTGGGGAGACGTCCTATGTGATTTTTGGCTTTCCATCGACTACATCGTCTGTTTGGCATCGATTTATACCGTACTTGGGATTACTGTTGATAGGTAGGCGTGGCCGATCAACATGGCCTAGAAAAATCTCCTCTTCCAGGTACTATTCGGTGAAGAAACCAGCGACATACCGAAACTGGAGGACTCCCGGTCGCGTCGTTCTCATTATCATTTTTATATGGCTTGTAAGTCAACATTTTGAATCCAATACCTCAAATTTCACGACAATTTGCGTACTTTTCAGGTTCCCAGCATTCTATTCTCGGTATCGATTTTCGGATATGGCACGTTTACGGGTGAAGGAAGGATATTGAAATCGAACGAGTGTTATGTGCAATTCATGACAAATCCATATTTGAATATGGGAATGTACATTTCATACTACTGGACCACACTATTCGTTATGCTTTATCTCTATTGGGGAATTTATCGAGCGGCGAAGAAGTTGGCATTGAAGAGTGATCAGGTGAGGAGAAGAGACGCAGAGAGAACTCTAGAATCTCTAACATTTAGGTGCAAAACATTTACTGAAGGTCCCACAACGACAACTACAGTGACCATATAAATATTTTTATTTTCCAAAGTTGAAGAAAAGTCTGAAAAAGCACAAAAATCGAGAAAATATGTATACGAAAATAACAATATTTTCAGGTTACTGTATTTATCATTGTGGGACTTTTGGCTCCAATTTTCAGTACCAGGATAATATTAAAATACAAAAATTGATAAAACCGGTTTTTCAATGCAAATTTTTCAAAAATCAAAAGGACTTACAGTAACCTGAAAAAGTGTGTAAAACTCAGTTTCGATCAGTTTTGCAGTTCCACAAACTTTCTAACTATTATTTTCTCAGATCTAATTCCGAATCGTTTACCTGAGGAATACGGTTGGAATATCGAAGCGGCCAGCCTTAATAGCACATGTTAGGTGGAGACGCAGACATTTTTTCTCTGCGTCTCAACCTTTTTTCTCAGACAGCGATAATATTAGAAAATGTTAAATTTTCCAAAAAGTCCAATAGAGCGCAATTACACCTTTATTTTTATGATTTTTCAGAAAACCAAACGGCTCGCTCTTCTGACAGAAATGCGACGACCCGAAGTCAGTGTTCGAACGAGTGACGCTGGAAACAGTAGCTCCGATTCGCCAAATGATACATCAAATAGTAGCAAGTGAGTTTTTTGAATTATATAGCTAGAATCCGTAGAGAACGGGCTTTAAAACAAGTATAAACAAGGCAGGGGTTTCTTTTCGTACTCATCTCTAAAATCTGTTTCTAAAAAAATTTGCCGCCTGTCGGACTCGAACCTGCGGCCGCGTGTGCAAAAGTGAGATGTGCTAGCAACAACACCATGGGTGACCACAGCGACCAGGAGAAGAAACGGCGTATACAATAGCGGGCTTTTCCTCCCCCTTTCGCCCTCATCATGGCTCTCCGTACTCACTACAGTTCACTGTGGTGAAACCAGTTCTTGGTCCGTTTTTCCTCTGCTAACCTATAAATCAAAAGTTTCGCTCTCCTATTTTTCCGCAACCATAAGGCAATCCATTTCAATCAGTTATTCTTCCATGTCCCCGGGAGACAAAAAGACAAGTGGCGAAATGTGAAGAAATGCGCATAAATCTCAACGCATATGTATTCTTCTTGGTTTTCTAGAACCTTCCCTGGAGACTTCTGACGTCTTCTGGGGTCGAAAAAAGCAAGGAAAAAAAGAAGCCTGTGAACCCCCACTTTTGCTGATTATCAGGGAAAAGTGGTTTGAAGGAGAAGAAGAAGAAGAAGAGATACTTCTGGAAAAGAGAAATAGAATTTTCGGGGGTTTGTAAGGAGAAAGAGAAGACGTTGTTGAGTCAGAAATCTCTCTTGAATTTAGGAAAATTGGAAATTTATGATCTCGAGTGTCTGTTCACTGAATCACTGCTTGAGTGGAAAACATTGGAACCAGTGGGGAACGATAAAACAATTTTTGGGGTTCTGGAGAAAAGGAAGGGTTTAGGGAAATTGGGAAATGAGGGATCGAAAAAAAAATAAAGAATTTTAGAATTTTAGAATTTTAGAATTTTAGAATTTTAGAATTTTAGAATTTTAGAATTTTAGAATTTTAGAATTTTAGAATTTTAGAATTTTAGAATTTTAGAATTTTAGAATTTTAGAATTTTAGAATTTTAGAATTTTAGAATTTTAGAATTTTAGAATTTTAGAATTTTAGAATTTTAGAATTTCAAATTTCGAAATTGCAAAATTTTCGATTTTTCGAAACTTCAATTTTTTAGATTTTTTCAAAATTTTTTTCTGAAAAGTACGCAATGTGTCGTGAAGCGCGATGCATTCTCCTGACTACCGTAACCCGTTTCCACTTTTTTCAATAATTTCAAACTCTCCAAATTTCAGAATCTCAATAATTAGAATCTCAGAAAATTGGAGTTTCAAAAATCTCAGAATCTCAGAATCTCAGAATCTCAGAATCTCAAAATCTCATTATCTTAGAATCTCAAAATCTCAGAATCTCAGAATCTCAGAATCTCAGAATCTCAGAATCTCAGAATCTCAGAATCTCAGATTTTTGAAATCTCAGAATCTCAAAAAAACTGGAGATTCAGAAATTCAGAATCCCAATCTCAAAATACGTGATTTTCTGGAGAACCCAAGACTTTACGACAATTTGCAGACTTTTTCGTTGCAAATTTTGAACTGATCCAATTTCAAAACCAATCATCTTCTGAACTCTCTTCCCTTTTTTCTTGCTTTCAGACTATTTAAATTTTGGTCCGTTTTTTTCCAATTTCCTGGTTTTTTACTATTCCCATTTCTCCCAAAAAATGTACCCATAGATATAAAAATGCAAATTTTTCTGGAAAATGTTCGACCTTTTTCGGAATTTCTTGGTCCTGTTGGTTTTGCTTGTGTATTGCTCAATTGAATTCAATTTTTCCTTCTTCTTCTTCTTCTTCTTCTTTTTTTCTCTTCTTCTTCTCCAGAAGAAGAAAATATTTAGAAGATGGTAAAAGGGGAATGAAATGTGAGATTTTTTTTCTGAAGAGAGAAAAGTTTTGAAGTGGTTTTTTTTCTCGAGATAAGAGGAAGAGTGAAATCTTCTATCAGAATTTTCGTTTTTCGAGAAAAAGGGGGAAAGAAGGAAAAGGGACCAGAATAATTAGAGAAAGAAAAGAGGAAGGAAAATTTTTGGGGGTCATTTTTTTTTTGGGAAAACGAGTTGCACTTTTTTTAAAGACCAAATTAGGATGAGTTTTTTTTTTTTAATGAGTTGGTCTAACAATTCAAAGATCAAATAGTGAAAATGGCGTCATCTACAGTAGTCTTTCGAAGATTTGGTCTGCATTTTGTCGTAAGACTTAATGTATTTACCTTATGGGAACTATTCGTCGTAAGATTTGATGCATTAATTGTCTGCATTTTGTGATAAACCGTACTGTACATAAAACTTTCATTCGTTTGAAAACAGTACGTAACTTGTCGTAAAAGCTGATGCATTGAAATGTGAATAGTTTCAGTTTTGTCTGCATTTTATCGTAAGATCTGATGTACATTCATCCTGGGAACATGGTACACAATTTGTCCTAAAATCTGATACATTGGAAAATTAAATTTAAAAAAAAAACTTGTTTTCGTCTGTATTTTGTCTTATGATATGATGGACTTTTCTTATGGTAACACTACGCAACTAGTCGTTATATCTGATACATTAAAAATCCAAGTCCCCTCTTTTCTGTATTTTGTCGTAAGATATGATATACAGGAAAACTTGCATTTCTATGGAAACGGTACGCAACTTGTCGTAAAATCTGATGCATTAAAACTGCGAAATTTAAACATTTTGATTTTGTCTGCATTTTGTCGTATGGTGTACTATGCTGAAAATCGTGGGTTACGATACTAAAAAAGTTGGAAGCGATACGCAATTTGTCGTGAAGTCTGATACATTGAAAAGTCAAATTTAAAAAGTATATTTTTTTCTGCATTTTGTCGTAAGATCTCATGTACTGTAGAATTGTAGAATTTTGAAGAAATGTTCACAATGTTCAAAAATTTCAAATCTTGATATTTTCAGAAGTTTGTATTTTTTGTAATTTTGAAAATTTGAAACTTTCCAATCGTTTGTATTTTCAAGAGTTTTAAATTCTGGAAAATTTCGATTTTCAACAATTCCAGGTAATAATCAAACTGTTCTCAAAAGTACGCAATTTGTCGTTAAATCTGTCGTCTGCAAACCGATTCATCGGTTTGTCTGTGTATCCAGATGTCCTAATCCCTAACAAAATGTCATTTTTTGTAGCTCTCTTTTCCAAAAATAATAATCCTATTCAATTATGAATAGCGCAACCCTTTTGACATGAATTGAAAGTGACCATTCCGGTGGGGGGGATTCAAAGTGATTCTGAATCTCTCTGCCGACGTCTTCTGATGCCTTCTTCTATGCCCCATTTCCCGTTAGTCTTTTCCGTTTTTCCTTAAATCACATTACCTTTTCCTTCTTCTTTCTTTCTATCTCTTCTTCTTCTTCTTCTTCTTCTTCTTCTTCTTCTTCTTCTTCTTCTTCTTCTTCTTCTTCTTCTGACCGCCCCGTATATATCTGATGACGTGTGGAATGGGTAGTTGTGTGCCCTTCGGGCACTGAGTACATACGTACATAACAAATCAAATCCCAGAGACTCCCCCAGACAAAAAGGGACTATTCAAAATCCACGTGTTTTCTTTTTCAGATGTTTCCGAACTGCTCAACCGACGACTACAATGCCAACGACACAAACAACTGCTGTTGGAACGCCACCGCCCGTTTTTCGGAATCATATGACACTTCATAATAATAATATTGATTTTACAAAGGATTTGGAGATTCCAAGACCACCAACACCTCCGGATGAGAATACTTATAGGTGGGTTTTCGAAAAAAAAATCTCTAAAGGCGGGTCCTCACACTTTCAAATTGGACCCACGCCGGGTTACCATGAAACATGTAATAGAAGAGCTTTTTAACTTTGAGCCAATTTATTTCGGTTCCTGAAAAAGATTTCAAAAAGTGGCCAAGTGACGAATTATTCATCATAATATCAAATCTATTTTCTCCATTGACTACTTTTCAATATCTTTTTCAGGAATCGAGATAATTGAGCTCAAACTTGTGGGAGCCCTTCTATTACAGGTTTTATGATATCTCGGATACTGTAAACGATATCAAAAAGTAATCAACTAACAAAATGTTACTATTATTATGATGAATATTTTAGTAGTTGACCACTTTTTGGTAGCTTTTGCAGTAACCGAGATAATTTGGGTCCAAGTAGACTCAGAGAATTTTCCTATTTTTTCGAAAAAATTTTAATTTTTCAGATTGTTTTATAAATTCAAAAAGTTTAAACAAATTTTCAATTTCATAATTTTTCCGAATTTCTTAAAATTTTCCAGAAAATTTCCAGAAATTTCCAGGCATCGGCAAATCAGAGATATCTAAAATTCTAAAATTCTAAAATTCTAAAATTCTAAAATTCCAAAATTCTAAAATTCTAAAATTCTAAAATTCTAAAATTCTAAAATTCTAAAATTCTAAAATTCTAAAATTCTAAAATTCTAAAATTCTAAAATTCTAAAATTCTAAAATTCTAAAATTCTACATTTTCAGCAATCCAAACTTCTCCATAATTTCGGAGCAGCTAACCAATGGATTCTCTCGTCAAGAGCCATCATCTGTGATCGAAAGAGAAAGTACAGCTCCGTGTGTTTCCCCAGAACCATCACAAGCATCACACGAAGAGATGAATACAGAGAATCATCATGCGCATTTTAAGTGAGTCCTTTTTCTTTTGGAATTTGGAATTCTCTCCAATTTCCAGACCCGAACTCTCCTTGCCCTTTATTGATGCCGATAGTGTGTCATCCATGGTGGGACATGATGATTTAAGAAGAGCAATGAGTATTCGATTATCGAGAAGTGCTCGACACAAAGAGGAAATATCGATACGCCTGTTGTGGAATTAATTGAGAATTTGGATGAAATTATGAGTGGAATTAAGGAAGATCAAAATGGAAATGAAGAGATTAAAGGAGAGCAAGGAGGAGAAGAAAAGAAGAAATCAGGGATTGAAAATGGGGGAATGCATCATGTTACAATTGCTGCAGAGGATGAACAACAGGTTAGACCCTATGTCCCCTAACTTTATTCTTATTTATGTCGGTTACTGTAACAGATATCAAAAAGAGATAAACTACAAAATGTTTAACACATCAAGACAAACATTTTATCAGTTAACCACTTTTTGATTTTATCAGTTAACCACTTTTTGACTTTTTGATTTCACAGGAATCGAGATATAGGAATCGAGACATTAACAGAAGCGTTTGACCTAATTCAAGGGTCCTCTATCTTTGAATAAATTTATCTCGGTTCTTGTGAGAGATATCAAGAATTAGCCAACTAACAAAAAATTAATGATATTATGATAAACATTTTATCAGTGGACCACTTTTTGATACCTTTCACAGAAACCTAGATAAATTCCATTCAAAGTTGGGGCGACCGGTTTGACGAGTTCAATGGGATACGGTAGTTCGTTCTTGTGCCTTTAAGAAAATCCTGAAAAGGCTCTGGGAGCTGATTTTTTGAAAAAAAAATGCTATTACGAATCAGCTTTAGATCTGTATTTTTTCAATCCGTTAGAAAAATCCAAATGTTTAATATTTCCAGCCATCGACATCGAAAGAATCAGAGCAAAAAGAAGAAACACCGCCGGAGAATCACGATCCAAACGAAGTGAAGGTACAGTAATCCAATCTGAAAGTTGCAAACTTGCTCTGGAAACTTTTGTTCGGAATACATACATCGAAGAGATGCAGAGAAACGAGAATGTCTGGTTTCTCTGCGTCTCGTCCAATCGCATCTCCCCCTATTCACACTCTTGAACTTTGAGTCAATTTATCTCGATTCCTATCAGAGATATATCAAAAAGTGGTCAACTGACAAAATGTTTATCATAATGTCAACTATATTTTTTTTGATTGACCATTTTTTGATATCTTTTACTGGAGCTGAGATAAATCTGGTCAATGTTGAAACAACACAATGTAGCTCAGTCGGCGGAAGTAAGCCGGGTGGTTTCTCCGTTTAGAATTTACAAGTTCGACGAGACCATCACATTTCAAAACTTGATTGAATTCTGAAATACAGTAGTCAAAACTACAGTAGTCTATAATAGAGTTGCACCCTGTCCGTCAACTTTGATCCGAATTATCTCACTTCGAGCTTATCTATCTCAGTTCCTGTAAAAGATATGGGAAAGTAGTCAACTAACAAAATTTTTATCATGAAATCAGCAACATATTGTTAATTGGCCACTTTTTGATGTCTCTTACAGGAACCGAGATAATTCAGAAACAAACCACCAATTTTGCAGGTTCCCTTAATTGCCGTGTCTCGTGTGGAAAGTGTGAAAAGCACCGCCGGCGGAAAAGTGCGCCGTCTGATAACCCAAATGCGAAGTCACAGTATTCGAAGTAAACGAAAACGGAATAACAAAAAAGTGAGCTCCACCGCCCCCTACTACAGTAATCCTTCCTCATCAAATCTCTCAATTCCTCAAACACAATCAAATCATCGGTTGGGTGGTGGTGTCCGGCGACATCCGGTCACAATTACTCTTCAATTTCAGAGTGTATTATCGGCTCTTAACTTTTTTCAACGTAAAAAGGTAACACAAAAAGAGGCGCTTTTTGGTTTAGACGCTTGGCTTCTACCCACTTCTAAAAACAACATTTTTCCTTTTATACTACTTTTCTACAAAAAAGTTTTGCATGTTTTTCTAGAACTTTCTGGGGGAATGGGGATTTCAAGAACTCTAGGATTCGAAAAAAATGCTATTTATTCTGCTTACAGTAACCTTTTTTGAAATTATGGGTCAGTCTATGTTATTTGCGTCTTTGAACATTCTTTTTTGGGTTACTGTATTTTTCCAATGATGACCCTTTTTTCTGAAATGTGGCATGATTATATTCATTCGAAAGCTCTTTTTGAGTTTATTCTAATGATATAATTGACATAAGATTGTGAGCAAAACTGAGCAAGTTACAGTAGTTTAAAGTTTTCTTGTCATTAGAGCGCATTTTATAAAGAACAAATTTAAAAAAATTAAACATGAGTATAGTCATTCGAAAGCTCTTTTTTAGCTGATTCTATTGGTATAGTTTTAACACAATTCTGAACAAAAAAAAAGAGTTACGGTAGTTTAAAGTTTCCGTTGTAACATATTTTCATTAGAGCGCATTTTCTGAAAATTTTCAAATTGAGCCATGATTATACTCATTTAAAAGCTCTTTTCTAGCCAATTTTTATGATATAAACTTTTCACAAAATTCTGAGCAAAACTGAGAGAGTTACAGTACTATGATGTTCTTATTAACATTAGAGCGCATTTGCTCCCAAAATCTCCCAAATGTTCTGAAAAATAGTTGCTAAAATTTTCTTTTCTTTGAAAATGTTATGCTTTTGACAGCTATGATGTTGGTTAACGTATTTCAAACTTTTTGTTGCACTTTTAAACTTTTGTCTTCGGATTACTGTAGTTTTCCAGACGGGTCCCTTTTGTACTCGTTTGAAAACTCTTTTTAAGCTGAATCTGATGGTATAGTTTTAATAAGAATCTGAGCAAAACTGCCGAAGTTACAGTAGCTTGAAGTTTCTGTTTTCATAAATTATCATTAGAGCGAATTTTCTTCCAAAAACTAAATTCGCAATGATTATACTCATTGGAAAGCTCTTTTTTAAGTTTAATCTGATGATACATGTTTTATAAAATTCTGAACAATTTTTAGGGAGTTACGGTACTTTTACCATAGGATTACTGTAGTTTTTCAAAAAAAGAAAGTTAGAAAAAATTCAGCCATTATTACTCATTGTAAAGCTCCTTTTGAGCTGAATCCAATTATATAAATATTCGCTTATCGATTTTTAGGCAAAAGTAAAAAGTTACTGTAGTTTTCCACTCGGGACACTTTTCGCTCGAAATATGCCATGATAATACTTATTTCAAAGCTTATTTTGAGTTAAATCTAATTATTTATATTTTAAAATTCTGAACAAAATTTAGGGAGTTACAGACATTTTCAAAAAAATTGGCTTTGATTTTTTGTCTTAATGTCCTTGTCTAGTGTTTTTTCTCTTGAAGTGACTTGTCCCAAAATGCAAATTCCTTCTTTTTTTTTCTTATTTTCAACTTCTTTTCTTTCCCTTAGAAAATTTCTTCAAAAAATCTAATTTTTGTGTTTCAGGAATACAAATCGCGATCAGAAAATCGTGCTCGAAAGGCTCTCCGAACAATCACATTCATTCTGGGATCATTTATCATTCTCTGGACACCATTTTACGTTTTGGCAACAATTTACGGATTCTGTGAGACGTGCAAAGCATCGCCATCATTCAATACATTATATACGATTTCCTATTATCTGTGTTATATGAACTCCCCGTTGAATCCATTCTGTTACGCTATGGCCAATCAGCAATTCAAGAAGACGTTGACCAGAATTTTTAAAGGAGACTTCAGAAGGGTCTAGATCTCCTTTTTCTTTTTTTTACCTCTCAAAATCCCCCATTTTTTCCCTATCATCCCATTCTTTCTTTCCTTTCTGTCTATTCATGCCATTTGCATTAGAGCGAACTTGCAAAAACATTGTGAAGATCATCATTGAACAAAAAAAAGCGCTTTGTTTTTTGTGATAATTGTTTCTCTGATCACCTTCTACATGGATATTTTATATTGATACTGTGATAATATATTTTTTGATTTTTAAGAAATGAATTTTTTAGAAAATCTTTTTTTTTTTTCAAATTGAAGCTACATAATTTTTATGCCATGACCTAGATTTTAACTTTTTAAACCTGAAAATTACTTTTAAAAAACGATAAATTGAAAAACAAAAAAAACTAGAAAACGTTAGAAAGTACACAGAAAAAAAAACGATGAAGTTGACGATAACGTTAAGAATCCTGGTGCCACAAGATCCTTGTTAAACTGGATGTTGGTAGTTTATTATTAACATGTACAGAAACAAGATTATCATTGTAATGATTTATTGAGTCGGAGGGAAGAGCCTGATGGATTGCTCTGTCCCTTCAAATAGAGGACCCGGCGTTACACAGTCACAATTTCTCAGGGACTGGAGATTTTTCGGGGATTTTTTTGGAGCCAGAGTATGCATTCTACCGTCACGGTGTACAACGCTTAATGTCACTCTGCGTACAGCTGTCGTCCTCGCCTTTATGTATGCAATCAGGCGTGCGCTTTCTCTTTGCTCTCGTGGCTCAGTCGGTAGCGGCGCCGCACCCTCAATCATCGCCCTCACAAGTTCAACTCCTCGAGGGGCATCTTTGAACGGAATTTCGAGAACATTATTTTTTTTCATGTCCCCCCCACCTTTAAGAAGGATTTTGAGATTAGGTTATTGAGATTAAGTTAGATTTGGTTATATTTCACAATTTTGAGCTTCCCCGACCTTTAAGGATTAGGAAAACGTCAAAGAAGTACGAGGTTTTTGTTCATGAAGAAGTTGCGAAGTTATTAGAAGCAGGAGTAGTAGTTCCCACGGATAAACCGTTAGTTTGTAGTCCCCTTCATGTAGCTGATAACGGAAAAAAGTTGAGGCTTATTTTAGATTTGTCAGGTCTTAATAAGGGTTTGAGTGTCCCCAAGTTTCGGCTACTAATAAAACGCCACCTAAACCGCCAACTTTGAGCTCATGTATCTCCTTTTCTGTGAATGCTATCAAAATGTAGTAAAATAACAAAATGTTGCTGATATTATGATAAACGTTTTGTCAGTTTATTACTTTCTGATATCGTTCACAGAAAATGAGATATATGGGCTCAAAATTGACGGATTAGGTGGCGTTCTATTAGTGTTTACGGTAAAAGTTGTTAAAGGAGGGTAGACATCAAAAATTTCAAAATTTTTATTTTTACTCAAAAGATATAACTCTGAAGTATAAATATAGCTATGTACTTAAAAACCTGAAAAAAACACTTCAAGGACGAAAAAATGCTTTTTCTTTTTTGTCACCCCAATTTCTTCACTAGCTTGCTGTTGCGGCGTCGCTTCATAATGTGAAAAACGCGATGGTCGCCTCTTACACGCGTAGTGTAGTGGGTACGCTCTTGGCTAGTATTCAGGAGGTCAGAGGTTCAATCCCTGCTGGTGTTTTTACTTTTTTCTTCCCTTGTTTCCTTCGGATTGAACTTTTTGAACTCGGAATTTTTGAAGGGCTACCAGCGTGCCGCCGAGGTATCAAAATCAGTTGAAAATGAAGAAACGTGTTTTATTATGTTAACAAATAAATTATGAAAAAAACTACAATTAATTTTTAGAAAGAGACATAACAATTGAAAAAAAAACCACATAATTAAAACAATACTCGTGCAGGGATGGTCGTCGGAAGGTGAAGGAAGCAGTAAAAATGAAGACGTCTCTGAAAACCCCAGTCATAAAACAGTTTTTTATTCCTAGAGTAATAACGAGAAGTAATGAGATAAATAGGAACAGTGAAGAAACGGTTATCGAAGAGAAAATAGTTTTTTTCGCATGCCTATAAAAACACGGGCGACTGGCAAAATAATCGGTCGATAGAACTTTAAATTTACATAAAAAATTTACTTTTATATGGGTTTTATAATAAATAAGAAAAAAGAGCTTTTTTAATGTTTGAAGTCGTTAAAAATTGAAAAAAAATAAAGTCGGGAAATAAAAAAATAAAATTGTTTGCGTGTGGGATTGCGTGCTTTAGGTGCGAACACCGCGACGTCAGAATGCACGCCCCCTGAAATTTCCCCCGAAATTTTTGCTGTCTGGCCCCCTTTAAATTTCTAAAATTTGGCCCAGGGTTCAAGGGTACATTGAGTTCTTATTAGTTGAGAAAGTAAATAAGATCGTGGGGTGTAGGGCGTTTGAGCCTAAGCCTATAATTTTGAGTAAAAAAGCAAAATAGTACAGGGTGGCTGTTAATTACCCGCAATAGTTTGAGATGGCGTAACTCGAAAACTGAAAATCAGAGAAGTATGAAACTTTACAGGGGTTATATCGATGTGATAACAAGTAATTATCATCTAGAGTTACTCCACCCGGTCCCTCTTCCGATCGATGACAGCGTGAAAACCTCTCGGATGGGCATCCACTGTGGCACGCAGGTCAAAGGGATCCATACCGCCACCAAGGAATTTTTTCAGGGCTTCAAATTTGGATTAAATTTAGCGTTACTCTTGCTTCGCAGAATCCCAACACGGAGAAGTGGAGCGAACTTAAATCCGTCGAGAAATCAGGCCATTCTTCTATGCTAGTTGAGGCTTGCAAATGAGTCTCGAACCACTGTTGAGACATTTTGAAGATGTGGGCCAGAGCTCTGTTCGGTTGGAAACCCCAATAGCATTCTAATAGGTGGGTTTGGGCTAATGGAATACAGAATCTTCGAAATTTTAACTTCTTTGCTGATTTCGACACCCTTATCGACGAAAAGAAGTGAAATATCGAAAATTGAGCAAAATGCCCAAAAACCATGAGCAGAGAAATGTTCGGATTGAAATTCGATAATTCTGATTTCCGCTAAAGGGGGGGGGGGACATGAAAAAAAAAATGTTCTCGAAATTCCGTTCAAATGTGCCTCGAGGATTTGAACTCATGGCAAGCTGATCAGGGATACAGGGCCGCTACCGACTGCGCCACGCGGGCGAAAAGAGGACGCGCGCCCGATGGTAAACATAAGGGTGAGGACGACAGCTGTACGCAGAGTGACATTAAGCGTTGAGCGTACCCACTACACTACGCGTGTAAGAGGCGACCATCGCGTTTTTCACATTATGAAGCGACGCCGCAACAGCAAGCTAGTGAAGAAATTGGGGTGACAAAAAAGAAAAAGCATTTTTTCGTCCTTGAAGTGTTTTTTTCAGGTTTTTAAGTACATAGCTATATTTATACTTCAGAGTTATATCTTTTGAGTAAAAATAAAAATTTTGAAATTTTTGATGTCTACCCTCCTTTAACAACTTTTACCGTAAACACTAATAGAACGCCACCTAATCCGTCAATTTTGAGCCCATATATCTCATTTTCTGTGAACGATATCAGAAAGTAATAAACTGACAAAACGTTTATCATAATATCAGCAACATTTT